CGTACAGAAATGATCTCTCACATTTTTCAATAAATGACCATAAAACCCAACGACATGACATGACATCATGATGATGTTTTATAAATGTGAATTTTTAACACCATACTAAACTTGTTTCCACGATATTAACATGCGTAAGGTAAATTTTATTCGCACTTTTTGAAAGAATGTTCAAAGAAAGTCACTCTATAATTAAACAGAATAATCTTCATCTGCAACAACACCATATTGTCAAATGACTCACAATGAATGAGTTGTCGACATTCTTTCATTTCTATGTAGTGAACGTTTAATATATAATAAAAACAACGAATTTATCTGACCATACATTTATAATAAAAAGTAAACCATCAACATGAAGTTCGTTAAGAGATCAAAAGTTTCTCACTTTTGGTAATTTTCACATGTAAAACAAGCGACCATCCTTACGACAATCAACATCTTCGTGTGATATTCTCAATTTCATCACAACTTTCACAATGTTACAGTGTTGAATTCTCCAAATATAAATTTGAAAGTTGACGGGAATCATAGGATAAAAAAGATCTTTACTTGTCATTACAAAAGACTAATCTCTCTCTCTGGCCGTGATATTTTTACATAATTAAAAACTGACAGTTTTTCCACGGTTAAAACAAAGAATATGGACAAATTTATCTGCAATATTTTTGAGTTCGTTGTTGATACCATAAATAACTGTCCTTTTGTGATATAAAGAACATTTTATGTTCGTTTTAAGTGATATGTAATGTTGGTAAATACAATAGGTTAATATAACTAAAAAAGGTTGAGTTAGTGGATTCATTCAGGAATATTGAGTTTTATAAATTTAATTCCGCATCCACCATTTGTTATTAAAGCTAAAGTTCCTGTGTTGTAATGCATAGTTAGATTAAAGATAGAATCAAATCTGTCAAATCTAGCACATATTTCACCACTCTTTAAATCTACAACAACCAATGTGCCAAAAGATTCACCAATAAAATATGATTTATGTACGAATGTGCTTGACCATAAAAATCCATGGATGCACTGCCAAATCGTACTCACGTAATTGTAATTAATATTAATTACATAAATGCCAGTTTTCTTGTGGAAATTGTTGTCTTCAAAAGGAAATGCAATGACCGCTTGGTTACTATCATTTATAGAGCAACGGACTTTTAGGTAAGTTTTAGTTCTCTGTTGCAAAAAAAAATTTTCAATAAAAAACGTTTTGGGTAATTTTGCAGTATGCCAAGGTTTCAAGTAAAGTTGATTGTTGTTATTTCCTCATTTCCATAATGTGTATTCTGTTTTGTTTACTGTTAAAATAACGCAATCATCAGGGGATACAGCTGCTGCTTTAAATTTTGAACTATCGACAGGAAGTCTTTTGTTGTATTGTATCTCACCGTTGGTAATTCTAACAACTTGAACAAACTTTTCTTCGTCAATACAAACTAAGACATCACCAAATGTTAAGGTTTCCTTAAGTTTAAATCCAATGTTTAATTGCTTTGCTTGAGTAGAATCTACAAAATTTTCAAACGAAGTGGTTATTTTCATAAGATGATCAGAACCATCCCATATCCACAGTAAACCATCTGACCACCAACATCCTAATGCATTTATAAAGCCCAAGGATAAGTTGAATTCACAAGAAAACTCCATGTCTGTATATTTTGTGATAGTTTGTGTTTTTGTTTCTTTTGTGACTTCCACTTATCCCATTTTATACCATCTTATCCCAATTTTATTTTCATCTTTTTCATCCCACCATATAATTTAATATTATGTAAATAGCTATTATATATATAAATACCTTTATATTTGTAATTCAATACTGTCTGATGATGTCTTGAGAACCAAAACGAAACGTTACGTTACTAAATAAATATTCCTTTTTATACGTCATTTTTGTATTGAATGGCTCTTTAAAATAAACTTTGCTGAGCTTTAATATTTATAATAAGTAAAATGTTTCTTGTTAGGTTTACAATTGTCACAAGTTGAAACTGTACATTTAACTTTGCATCAACCCCAACATCATGATAATAAATTTTATTTTAACCATTGAAGACAGAAAGTGAGAATTAATAATCTTCAATATTTTAAATTGAGTCATTTGACTGTGACGATGACTACCGCTAAGGTTGTCGAAACGTCAGTCAACTACAACAAAAACAGTCCTTCTCAGGTTTATACCAGCCTGGACGATCGACATTTACAAACATACAAGAAAATATTATTCAAAATAATATAATTCCTCAATTCAAAACAACTTATGTCAAAATCGTAAAAGTTATTGACATAACATCTGTAATATTGTGAGATTTCTTTCTTTTAATGCCTAGTCATATTACTTTTATACAGATCTTTACTTAATTATAATATACGTACTATGACGTACGAAATACTAATAATTTACATAATAACTATACTACACCTCTCCCCAAACTAATTAAATATTTTTTTTGTATTTTGTATCTATGAGTTCGTTTATGAAAATATTAATTGCTTCTTTTATAGCTATCTCTAAATTAACTTTCAACTTGTCCGTATCGAATAGGGGCTTTTCTTGTACGCAAAGGATACCGCCGTTCTTTTTCCTTTATACTTTCTCAATGGGTTCTCCTAGACTTTTTCCATTTTCTATCTTCTTGAAAAATGACGAATTACGAGTAAACAACATTCTATCTTTCTTCGCTGTTACCATTGAACCTTTCCTTTCCACGACTTCACATGGCTTACCATCATAGGGTGTTTGTTGTTTATTAGTGGTCGTATCTTTCTTTACTAACACCATATCACCTACTTTAATGTCACTTGTCTTTACGTTCCTGTTATTGTCTGCATGTAATTTCATCTTCAATTTTGCTCTTTCATCCTGTACTCGAATTCTTTCCCCTGTATCTACATGAGATGGTTCTTCAGGTAAACGTACTTTCATTGGTCGACCAAATAAAGCCATAGATGGAGAGATTTTGGTCGAACTATTTGGTGTGGTACGATAATTTCGCAGGAAACTGTGGATTTCTTGCTTCCAAATTTTTCCTTCCATTATCGCATATATGGCGTTTTGATAGTACGCATAAATCTTTCCACTTCCCCGTTGGCTCGTGGCCAATAAGGAGTAACTTTTCTGTGTTTAAATCCCAAATACTTTGAAAATTCGTAAAATTCCTTGCTATTGAATGGCGGTTCATTGTCTGAACGTATCGTATCTAGTATCCCGAACTACGAAAGAATCTTATCCAAACAGGGTATAACAGTCTTTGCGGACGTTGATTGGATTACTTCTACAATGGGATATCTGGAAAATCATCATACAAAACAAACAAATATTCACCTGTGCCTGTAGGATCTACACCAAAGTCCATACTTAGTTCTTTCAATGGTGATCTTGGCCACTCCGACATTTTCAATAGTTCCATTTCACTGACTGGAGTTGTAATCTGACAGGCTAAGCACGATTTAACTTTTTCATTAACTAACTCATTTATACGTGGAAACCATACCTTTTCACGTAATAACGCTTTCGTTTTTCACATTCCCATATGACCTTCATGAGCAATGTTCACTACTTTCTCTCGTAAACTTTCTGGTATGATTATTTGATGTTTTCGTAAAATTATTCCCGAAGTTATGCAAAGTTCATCTTTAAGTTTCTCATATGAACTAAATTCTGCTTGATTTACTCCTACCATCTTTGAACTCTCAAACCATCTACCTGTTTCAATGGCTTGAATTACTGCTCGAAGAGTAATGTCTTCTCTTGTAGCTTCTTCCAGATCTTTCCTGCTGATTGTTCTTGGAACCGAGTTCTGTATAACGTAATTAACAAATTCTTCTGCTACTTTCTCTTGCCGGTTGTTTAGTTTCTCATCAAAGAAGGGATGACGTGAGAGAAAATCTGCAGGATTTTCAGTTCCAGGTTGAAAACAGATTGCAAAATCATATGGTTGCAATCGCAAAGCCCACCGTTCTATTCTCGCAGATGGCTTTGATGATGGATTTGTGTATATTTTCACCAGCGGCTTGTGATCAGTGACGATGGCGAATTTTCCTCCAAACAAATATAAATGAAAATGTTCGCAGGCCCATACTATAGCTAAAGCTTCTTTCCAAGTGAGAATAATTTTCTCTGTGGTAGTTAGTGATTTACTAGCGTAAGCAATTATTTTCCTTTTTTCTTCTTCCTTTTCCTCTGCACCAAGACTGCTGCATTACCATATGGACTAGCATCTGTGAAAACCTCCGTATCACTATTCGCATCGAAGTATGCACTTTCTGGCCCATCTGTTAATGCTTTCCGTAGGGCTTTCATTGTGTGTTCTTGTTCTCTTGTCCACACGAATGGGGCATCTTTCTTGATAAGTCGACGTAACGGCTCCGTAATTGTGGCATAATGTGGAATAAATCGACAGCAAAAATTGGTCATGCCTAACAAACTTCGTACTTCTCCTACATCTTTAGGATTTGTGCATTCCTTAATAGCTCTCACTTTATTGGGATCCGGCCCAATACCATTCTCTGAGAACACATACCCTTGGAATATTAAACTTCTTTTCTTAAACAGACATTTCTCCTTCTTAAGAGTTAGTCCTCGATCTTTAATTCGTTGTAATACCGCGTTCAAATTTGCATCGTGATCTTTCTTGTCTACGCCAAACACCATAATGTCATCACTGATATTAATCACTCTCAGTCCATTCAACGTTTCTCTGATGGCATTTTGGAATACCTCTGCAAGACAGTTTATTCCAAAATTCAAACGTCGAAATCTCCGTAGACCAATGTGTGTTGAGAACGTTGTCAAATATTTTGATTCTGCATCGAGCTCTAACTGGTTATAGCCTTGATTTAAGTCCAATTTGCTAAACTATACAGCACCATTTAGATCACTTATAATTTCACCAATTTTCGGAGTCAAGTGTCGTTCTCTCTTTATTGCTTTGTTTACTTGTGGCATATCTATACAAACTCGGACCTCCCCTTTTGTTTTCCCTGGTCGATGTTCACGAGCACAAAATTTTTAGTTTTGGTACGACCACGACTGGTGAAACCCAAGGTGTTGGTCCATCTGTTTTCTCTATGACTCCACGTTCTTCGTCTCGTTTTAACTGTTTCTCCAAGTCTTTTCTCACATGAAACGGCACCCGACGATGAGGTTGTGCGACAGGTTGTACGTCCTTATCTACGTGTAGATGAACTTGAAACCCTTTCAATTTTCCCAGTCCTTGAAAGACTTCTTGATATTTGTTAATTAGCTCTTCCACTTTGGTACCTTCTCTCACTTTTTCTTGCGCCTTTTCTTTAACGGGTTCCTGTTTAGACTTTGTAGTGCCTTCTATGGATGCAACTATTTGTACCAGGCCCAATTTTTGAGAACTTTTCCAGCTTATCAAGCAACCCGTATTCCCATTAACAACAAAAAATGTCTCTAATCCATATAGTTTATCGGTTTCGACCACACACTGACATTTTCCTTTAATTGATAGTTGTTTTTTCGACCCATACGGAAAGATTTTCTCATTTGCTTCCTGCAATATTGGCTTTTTCTTCAATTTGTTAAAATTCACTTCATCCAAGAGATTTACGCTGGAACCGGTATCTGCCATGACTGACACAGGAGTACCATTTATCTTAACTTTAAACTTCGGCAGCTTTTGTTGCGCCGTCAACGTTGAAAATACATATTCATCTTCCATACTTGATTCGGACGTTATTTCTTGCACCGTATTCACTTGACGAGGTCTTACTTGATTACGTTTTATCTGTCCGTTTCGCTTTGTTGATTCAGCGCGAGAATTTTGATAATTGTCTTGCAACAGCTCTTTGCCTCTTCGATTCTCATAGCAACAAACTTGAAAATGGTTCCACTTTAAACACTGTCGATATTTCTTTCCATATGCCGGGCAATTTGTTTTCCCTGGTCGATGTTCACAAGCACAAAATTTGCATTTGATCTTCGATGAATATTTGGAAGCATTTGAGGTTTTTTCCGTGGGCGTCTTGAACTGCTTTCTTTTATGCCAAATTCGATTCGTGCTTTCGATGCATTCTGCTTGTGTTTTTGACATCTCCATTGTTTTTCCCATTTGTATTAATTTCTCCATCGTTATTTCGGGGTCTGCTAACGCTTTTCTCCGCAAATTTGAAAATGAACCATTTTGTATGATCTGGGTTTTTATCTCTCTGCTTTCTTCATGAAATTCGCAGGATTTGGCCAATTGTTTCAATCTCGTATTGTACGCGGATATGTTTTCTCCTGGGAGTTGTTTCGCTTGACGAAACTTATAAACTTCGAATTCTATATTCTTCTGTGGAGTGAAGTAATTTCGTAACGCTTTCTCCGCTTTTTTAAATACATCTTCTTCTCTATCTGGCTCGTCAATTTCTAAAGTTTCAAATATCTCATTAACTTCTTCACCGACATAGTGCAGGAGCATCGCCTTCTTTCTTGCGGCGTTTGTGATGTTCATTGCCAACAACAAATTCTCCAATCTTGATACGTATTTTCCCCAAGCTTTTCTAATGTCTGGTTCTTCTAGGTTGAACGTCGGGAAACTAGGCAAAGCTGTCATGTTCGAAATGTAGTATTTTTCTCAGGATCAAATCATATTTCTTCGTCCCTTAATAATCTTTGTCGCCAGATGTAATATTGTGAGATTTCTTTCTTTTATTGCTTTGTCATATTACTTTTATACAGTTCTTTACTTAATTATAATATACGTAATATGACGTACGAAATACTAATAATTTATATAATAACTATACTACACCATCATGATGTTTTTACATACGGGAATTGTTGACAGTATATAACATTTTGTTTCTTTAAGGTCATATGTACATAATGAACGTACAGAAATGATCTTTCAAATTTTTAAACTAATGACCATAAAACCCAAATGGTGTTTTTATACATGTGAATTTTTAACATCATACAAAACCGATTTCCACGATATTAAATTGTATTTACAGTTCTCGAAAGCCTGTCTAAAGAAAGTCACTCTATAATTTCATCAAAATTATCTTCATCTACAACAACACCATATTATCAAATGACTCACAATGAGTGAGTTGTCGACATTCTTTCATTTCTATGTAGTGAACGTCTTATTTATAATACTATATAATAGCCGAAAGAATTTAAGCAATTTCATTAGTCGAGAGCTATGATCTATAAGACGACAGACGCACGGAATTGAGGTCACAGAAAATTCCTTGTTTTTAAATGACAAACGAACGGAGAATTTATTTGAATATTTATCTGAATATATGCCTGAATGAACAAATAAAGAATTTAAAAATGCCCAGTTGAAGCATTGGACGCATTTGAGGAAAAAGAAAAGAAAAAACTCGGTTTTCAAACATTGATTTGCCCCGGCGGCTCGTGGCCACTCTGTTTTTATCACAATGACGTCATACCCGTGTATCTATAACTGTATAGACAACGGTTAAATGTTATCTATTTGTTAAATAAAAATAACCAAATTATCTAACCATACATTTTTATTAAAAAGTAAATCATCAACATGAAATTTGTTCAGAGGTACAATACATAATAATAAGTTTGACAGAGCATCTTACAGCAGTAGTCTAATCTAGAGGATGCCCTGTTTAAATGACAATTCATTTATGAAGATTACAAGTAGAATCTTAGAAAAGAATGAACAAATATTCATGATCAATTATTATAGAAGCGCTCTTTTTAAATACAAGTCATTTGTGTTATAAAAAGCAATTATACATCATTTTAGATTATTGCAAAACATAGATCATATTTTACATTCTTTAATAGCAGGAGGTAAGATATTGCAAGAAATAGTACAGATAAACATAAAAGATCTTTTGCAAAATTGGTCCAAATTTATTTTTGGTTAATATAGATGATTTCTTAAAGATTGCCTGGTAGAATAAGTATACTTCTTCTGTAGAAAACTATATTAAGTGGAAACAAGCAATCATTCTTACAACCATCAACATCTATGTGCAATTTTCTCAACAGCTTTTTGAATTTACTATTAAAGTTTGACTTGATGTATTTATTCAGGAACATTAAGTTTTAAAAATTGAATTCCGCAATATAAACTGTCAACTAAAGCTAAACTTCCTGTATTGGAATGCATAATTATATTAGGCATAAAACATAATTCATCTTTAAATTCAGCGGGCGTTTTACCACTCTTTAAATCTACAGCAACCAATGACAAAGCATACACTCCAATGCCATAAGATTTGTGTACGACTAGGTCGGATTCCAACAAATCACCACTGACATCATGCAAAAAAGCATTCACATCACCATTCTCGTGAACATTAATTACATAAATGCTCATAATTGTGGTGCCTTTGCAAAATGTTATGACTGCTTGTTTACTATCACTTATATAACAGTTGAACTTTAGATCATTTACAGTTATCTGTTTCCAAAATTTTTCAATGACAGCTGTTATGGGTATTTCTGCAGTATGCCAAGGTTCCAGGTAAAGTTCATTGTTGTTATTTCCCCATTTCCATAATGTGTATTCTGTTTTGTTTACAGTTAAAATAACAGAATTATCAGGTGATACAGCTGCTGCTTTAAATTCAAAACTATCGACAGGAAGTCTTTTGTTGTATTGTATCTTACCCTTCGTAATTCTAACAACTTGAACAAAATCTAGTTCGTCAATACAAACTAAGACATCAGCAAATGTTAAGATTTTCTTAGGTTTAAATCCAATGTTAACATACTTTGCTTGAGTAGAATCTACAAAGTTTTTAGACGAAGTTGATATCTTCATAAGATGATCAGAACCATCCCATATCCACAGTAAACCATCCGACCACCAACATCCTATTGCATTCTTCAGTAGCATTGGTACAGTTTGAATAATAGTGCAAAGTTCAATGCTCCAAATATGAATGTTGACGTGGTCACCAACAGCAAAAGCAGCAAAAAAAGATCCATCAGGTGAAAAACAACAACATTTAATTTCAAATTTCTCAAAGATAAATGAAGGTCTCCAAAGATGACCAGTTTTGAAAATTTTAAGCTTGGAAAGATACGGCACAACGTAAAATTCCTTAAACGAGATAGGATGGACTTTGTTAAGAGTCCTATCAACACATGGACACTCATTTACATTTGGTAAACAAAACTCGATTTCTCCTTGATCGTTGTATTTTGTCAACTGAGTGATTTCAGAAAGCTTTCCATTCTGGCTTGTATGATAAAAAATACAATCACGATAATGGTGGGTTGTCGGCAAACGTAAAGGTGGTAAATATATACTTTCTCTTGAAAAAATATTTATTGCCTTTGGGAATTGAAAAACATTCGAAGTCACGCCGAATTTTGTAGCAAAGAACTCTGAATATTTATCGGTGCATTGTAGTTTTTGGTAATCAACAACGCAGCGTCGATCGATTCTTTCCAAAGTTAATGAATTCCATGCAGTAAACACATGTGTAGAAGAAATTCCATCATATCTTGCTGTAATAAACAATCCAGAATCTGAGAAAGAGCAACAATTAACAGCATGATGTGAATGTAAACATAATAACAAACGTCCATTGTTAACATCCCACAACTTTACTTCAGTAGATCCATCACTAGTTACCAGTCTATTTCGGGTAGGTGAAAAGGAGCAGCAACAGATGTTTCCACGTACAAAACAAAAGTCCTCTGATCTTGAATAGTAACAGTTGTCATACAGGGACAAAAATGTGTCTACATCATACCACTTATCCAACCTTAAATCATCAAGTGCAGTGCCGAGAGTGCATCGTTGTTTAAATTCTGGAAGCTCAAAAATAGATATTTGACCATTTTCATATCCTACTGCAAGAAGTTCTTCATTGGATGACACACAAAGAGATGTAACGTAAGCATCCAAGGAGATAGTCAAATGATGATGGTTTGTTAAATATGTTGAGTCGAAATCCTCAAACCAAACAAGCTTTCCTTGTTTCAATAAATCCCTTGCCAATAATCTATTTTCTTTACTGCCATGAATTCTGTTTGCAATAATCTGTAAATAGCTAAAGCTACTATGAAACTTATATGTCGTCGACTTCATCAATAAATGAAATAGTTCTTCTTCAAGTTCATCTTTTCTCAAGAAAGTTCGTGGTTCCTCATTGATTTTACGCAATTCAAAGCTAATGGTATTCCAGCTAATGTTTAAGCTAATGTTTTCCACACCCATTAACCTTGCACAAACCACTTTGACATCTACTGCCCAACTAAAGTCAACATTTTCGCCACATTCTATCATATGATAGATTCCTTTCTCCAAAGCATATTTAATCATAGCAGTGTTCATCTGATCTTCAAAAATGTTCATAGACTTGATTTGTTTAAACACTTTCTCACAAGAATGCCATAAGAACTTATGACCATTTTTTGGATCAACTGTAAACTCATGCTCTTCGTAACCATCTGATTTCAACCAATCAACGAGAGACTTGTGATACACGGTCAAATAATCATCGTAAATTGGAAAAATTTGAGATAGCACTTCATGTATTTTAATACGATCTTTAAACTTTATGTCATCAGAAAAACCTAAACATTGAAAAAGAAAAGACAAAGGCAAAATACTTTGATAAGTCACCAACACTTCAAGACATTCCGTAAAGTTTTCATTGGAAATAACGGTTTTGTGTGTTGATAAAATTATTTCTTTCAATAATTTATTTAATCTCTTGAATTGTTCTGTGTAAAATTTACTCAACCCAGTAGGTACCAATTGTTCAATATTCTCGACAGTTAGCTCAGTTCCTTCTCTTTTTAAACTCTCTTGTGCGTGGTAAGCGTACAGAAACGAACCCTGGCATTTTGCAACTAATAAACGAAAAACCTTGTAATCATAATCATCACAGTCATCACTGTCATCACAGTCATCACTGTTTTTGTGCCACCTGTCAGCAATGAAGAAATTAACATTCAACTCATGTGCTAAATACTTGAACAGATCGTATTTGTTCTTTCTATCATGAGGTTGAGTTTCTATTTCTACAGGATTCATGTCTTTCAATTCCTTTTGAACAGAAAGTTCTGGACGACTGGTGATGAAGATTTTAATCCATTTAGGCAGTCGATCAAACTCTTCTGCAATCAATTCCAACAATTCACTTTTGCCATCCACTTGGCTTTCATCTAAGGCATCAATAACCAAAAGCATTGGTTCATGATCTTTCAATGAATGCAATGGATTATTTAATAAAACACGGAATACATCGGTGACTGATTCGTAGGAATGTTTTCTCTGTAATTCTTCATTCAGTTTACATTTAAAATCTGATATTGTATCACACATGCTACTAGCCAATGATTCTATCAACATTCGAGGATTCCTCTCATCTGATCTATTATATCTGCAGAAATGAGAAGCAGCAAGTTTCTTCTTTTCAGAATATCGTCGACACAACTCAGCAGCGAACACACTTTTACCAACGCCAGGACCGGCAGTCAAAATCATGACATTAGAAGCATCTTCACTTCTGTCGTTAAACCAAGTGTCGAGTTTTTCAAATAACCATCGTCTAGTGCCTTCAAGGTATTTCTTGTTAAGATCTTTTATGAGGCCATTAAACTTACACTTTCCAAGCTTCTGAAGATCTGAGCATATTTTGTCCTCTAGCATTTCTACATCAGCTTTTGTTGCCATGTTTTCTTTAATTTCTTCAACTTTATTTTTCATAACTTCAAAATCTTTTTTTAATTCTTTTACATTCTCTTTAGTTTCCTCAGCGACATCGATTAACTGTTTTTCTTTTTCATACCAGTTTTTCAATATTTCAATATAATTTGCCTCATTAGGACTGAGGGGAGCTTTCTTTGCTTCATCTATTTCAGTTTGTTGAATACCCAGACCAACCAATGCTTTTGAAATTTCTTGCCACAAGTTCTCAAACTCACTGTCATCTACAGTAGTTGTAGTTATGTGACCGTACACTTTGTTTCGATAAAACTTTATTCTTGCAATATTTGCTGAGATTGAGGTATCTGAAGAGGAAGGAAGATTATCCCATCCACCATGAGGCGCTGTTAGACCACATATGTTACGCAATAAGACAGTCAATAATGAAATATCAAAGTTTTCAAGGTTTGGCAAGCCAGTTGATGGGTAAAGAAGGTTCCATTGCTCTTTGTTAATGACGCTTTTTTTTCTTAATGATTCCAATGTAATTTTATTTGAGGGTTTATTAAGTTCATGGCTTAGGTTTGACGAACGAAAATTTATATTAGACTGCAATGTTGTTTTCAAAGCTTGTGTTCCTTTATTTATCAAGAGTTTACTTAAACAAGATCCGTTTGCTTCAATCTTCAGTTTTTTAGATGGTGAAGCCATTTTTATACAAGAAATTTATTGAGAATGTAATGTTGTAAATACTCTGACTTACTTTTATGAAGAATCTTTGGTTTTAATCGCGAAGCCTTTATTTAAAATTTAAACTAAAAACGAAGAAAAATAATGGTACAAAAATAAGTTACAAAACTTTAAAATTAAATAAATCAACGGCCAACTGAAAAACTTATAACAAAGTTCAAGTATGAAACGTTAGTAAAATTTGTGATACAATATAACGAGTAGCTAAAAAATGTTTTAAAATTAATGTTCTATAGAATTTTACTCACCAAATATGACCCAAAACGACTATTTCTACATTTCAACACTCATTCTTTCGTTCCACAGTTTTATATTGAAATATTTCCTCATTTTTATCTTTTATTGCATTGTAGTGGAGACGTGTGTATTCAAATGTAAAGGATGGGCTCATCACGAGATCATTCTGATTCACTTCCGCGCTTGTAACTGGATACAGCTGAAAAGTAGAAAATAATCAAGTTCATTGTCCATAGATGGTTCTCACCAGATTTATGTTTTTACATAGACTTTTATAATAAATTACCAATATGATTCCGAAAAATTCTTAGAATAGAAAATAGGCCAAAATTTATCCAAATATTGATCCAAATGGCCATCTTTTTGTCAAAGTTTAAGTTTCCAAACCAAAGATCAGCAGCTATAGTCAGACAATAGTTGGTACTATTTGAGTCAGTCATTTTCAAACGAATAAAAGGATAATGAAAAAAAATACATAAATTATGTCGAATTTTTTGTGGCTTTAACCATTTTGTGCTCATAAAAATTGGAAAAATTGAAAAACAGCAAAAGAAATGAGCAACAGACAGTTTTTCTGGCAACGTGACCTGGCTGGTCGTAAATCTCATCAATTTATCAATAATAATATGGACGATGTAAAACTTATCAGTATAAAATAGTATACGGGAAGAAATTTTCATAAATAATAAAAACAAGTGAAGTATCTTTCTCCTTCTGTAAGCATGAACATTACTAAAGAAGTAGGAGCATGGTAAAATGGGAACAATTTATGTTAAATTACGCACATGCATTTGTCATAGGAAGTTTAAAGCATTGAGTTGCTGAGGAAGACTTTCTTTCCAATCGTGGCAAAGAGGAAACTTTGTAATTTTATATTGTTGAATGTTTAGTATATATAGAGGCTGCAAACGCTGTTTCTGGTTGTTTCAATACGCATTTTTGATGGTCGCATTTTATCGACGCATTTGATTAATGCATTGTAACGCATTGAGTTGAAGTCTTGAACAGACGAATTGGATAAGCATTTTTTGATTTTAATACTCGTGGTAAAGAACCAAAGTTTGTGGTCAAAAGAATCGTGATTTAGCATCCCGCACAACAGAACGCTTAGGTTGTGCGACAATGGCACTATAAATCTATAATTACCTAGCAATGTGGTAATGTATAATTGATGCAAATCGTTCGTGGTTGATTTAAATAATAAAATATAGTCGTTTTGGTTGATAAACAGATCATTTGTGTTTATATGATGAAACGCAATTTGATATACTAAGCATAAATATATATTATCGTATTGTCCAATAGATGTAGCGCTATTTATCTTATAGTTTCGTTTCACGTTGATTTTTCTTTTCTCAGAAGTTAGAATCATCTTATATACGGCATAATATCATCTGCGTATCTACTGAAAATGTGGATGCACAGTCAATGAATGTAAGTGAACGAGTATTCTGCCATTTAGTCAAACCTTTGATACAAAACGAGTAGCTAAACAATACGGCTTTAAAATCAACGTTTTACTCACCAAATATGATCAAAACGACTATTTCTTCATTTCCGCACTCATAATTTTGTTCCACAACGTAGAGTCACAGTTTTATATTGAAATATTTCTTCAATTTTGCCTTTAATCGTATTGTAGTGTACACATCATTCAAATGCAAGGATGGGCTCATCACGAGATCATTTTGATTCACAGCTTGTAACTGGATACAGCTGAAAAGTATGAATATGGTTCTCACCATTTTATATTTTTTACAGAGACTTTACCAATAAATTACCAGAGAAGAGATCCGTTGCACGAAGGCTGAATAACGCTATCCATTGAACTGAGTAGCAACGTTTTTGAGGGCTTCAAAAATATCTCAAAAGGGAAAAATCAACGATTCGAACTGAACAATAAATGAAATACAATATTGGTTCTAGAATTACAAAGTTTCATCATCATAAACAAAATATAACCATGCACATTCACAAATTTAAAAATTTACTATCCAATGGATAACGCTATCCACGCTTCGTGCAACAGGCCCCAGTATAAACTTTAAAAAAAAATTGAAGAGAATAAAAACCAAAAATTGTCCAAATGGAAATCGCCAACTGTTTTTCCGAAATTCCAGGGTCAAAGATCAAGAGATGTATTGATGTAATAGGTACTAAGCACCGATCGGCATAACAGACCTTCAATTTCTTATTGTCGTATTGTAAAGATTCTACGAAAATTTGACAAAACTTTTAGATTCAATAAATGATTAACTTCATTAAACTCCTTGAAAAATATGGGTATGTACCGCATACGGTTTTGATACATGGTTGGAGACTTTTCTGTGATGATTTTTGTAAGTAATTTATAATAACTTCATAAAATAGAAAGTTTGATAAAAGCTTTGAAAATTAAATTACTGTCCTGTTTTTATAAAAGATCAAATTGTCTTCCTAGCATATTTTTTCTTATATTTATATAACAAATAGCTCTTTCCTTGAAAGAGACATCGTTTCTGCAAGTTCAATATAGTACGAGAATACTTTTTGTGAACTTTATGTTATACCTGGTGTAGGTGACGTAATATTAAAAATAATAAAATATTAGACAAAAAATGTAAAAAACATAGGGATAAAAATGTCGTTACCCTCGTTAAATTCCTCAAGGATACATCATTTCCCTCATTAAATACTATAACAGTTTGAGTATACTTTTATAAACATTTTATAATTTGTATTTGAACGTTTACATCAGTAATTATACCAGTAAAGCAACTACAAATAGTCTCGATAATTCTGTCAATTTAACGCCTCTCTGGTTCAATGGAGTCTGGTGTATCACCTACAATATGACCATAAGCAATGAGTTTCTAAGAACAAAGAATATGAAATATAGAACTTTAAATAAGATAAATCTGAGAAACAAGTTTGCTAGTGTTGACATCATATTTTTTTCCTAGGAGATAAGATTTTATCAAATTTATTTTTTTTAGAATATTCGTGCAAAAATACTGGCATTTCCAAAAACGTTTAGATTTAGTAGTTACCAGTATTATTTTAATATATACCTAACACCAATAACAGTATGCATTTTGAACATAATGAACATAATAAATCATTAAACCAATCGAATTAGAATTTATTTGAAAATGACACGACGCATTGTGAACAAAATACGAAATTTTAATCAAAATTTGCAAAAAAGAAAGTCCTAAGCTATTATTTCAATATTGATATCTGACAAATATAATTCGATGTGAAATGTTCTTTTTCATTACCATACTAAACTTTGTCTTCCTTATTGCTTCATAGATTCTGTCATGACCACTAAAAACCACTTATTTGCGTTTACTGACAGCGACAACTGTGAAAATTGTATTTAAAGCACCAAATGTCTGTTGTTTGTAAAATCTAAGTAGGGAGGGGGATATTGTACTGTATTTCAACAAGTTATATCAAGTTAGTGACACAAATGCCAACTCAAGAGGCTTGCATTAAAAATATATCTAAGCAGTGAAATGGCTTTACTCCGTGAACAGATACATCACAAGACGATGTATGAAGTAATTGTCCTTTAAGCGCATAAACTTTTTGCACGAGCCTCACAAGATTTGTCCTCTTCATTTCTTGCTTACTAAATGTGCATACGCCCAAATTTGCATTTTAAATGTGTCATTTTTTTTCGAAAAATAAAGCCTGCTCAGCATATGCTATGTTGGGTTTATTTAAGAAACAACTGACTTATAAACCCAGTCCAAAAGGCATTGTAAATAGACAGCGCAATTCTGTAAATTATTTTATATGATGACAACAAAAATCAAAAAAATCGTATTCTATATTTTACAGGAAAGGCTTTATTATGTTTCTTCAACAAAATATAGGTGCAGATGTAAGAGCATTTAACGATAGATGATTTATTTCTTTTACAGTTAGACGTAATATGATGCCAGTTACTCAAGAAAAACGCACGTGTATGTATGATTATGGGTGAAAAACTGTTTGAAGTAAATAAATGTTCTCAATACCAGAGTAGACCATATATTTATAATAAATGAAATTACAGTTCTTAAAATGTTGTTAGTCGGGGTTTCATGCCGAAGCAATCTTCAGGCAACAAATGATACAAAAACGGTTGTTTCTTGCTTTGCTATTTGATTGCTAACACACGCGGTAATTTAAAACGTCCCGCGTGGAAGTTGCGCGAATGGATACACTTCGTGTACAGTTCACTGTGCTTATTCAAAAGATTGTTTTTATCAAGATGAACATGACATTATTGAAACTATTTTTAACACTTTATAGAACGAACAACACCACCAAGGAAACAAAACACAGACTAAAACATGCACTACCGACAGAAACAAAACTGCCCATGCACTTAACAGAAACTGCCACAATCATCTGTACAACGATCATTCATGGAAACTAAAACAACAGAGACCTACATCGGACTTACAAAAAGCGAATTTAAGACTCGACACAGGAACCACACTGCCTCTTTCCGTCACTAAAAACTAAGGAGCTTAACCGAACTCAGCAAACACATATAGACCCTCAAAGACAACAGCATAGATCACGATATCTCATGGAACATTATACCATAATTTCTACCTTAGCTTTGTATTGTATTCATACTTAAACACATGCTTTTGTAATTATTTAACAATATCGCCCGAACAAAGAGAACTTATGAAACAGGCTTGTCGAGATGAAATTGTATTTTTGTGAATTTTCCTCCTCCTTACAATATATATATAACAATATTTATAACTTTAAAGATTTGTAATCCATAGTAGACATTGTTTTTATGTATATTATTTTGTACTATGTATTATATACGTGCACATAGATAACTACACAAGTCAATGTTTGTTCAAATCATGAAATGTAGCGCAAAGTATACCCTATACTTCTTGAAATTATTTTGATTTCTAAAACATGCTTTAATTGGCTTAAAACTCAGCATGTATCTTTTAGCCTTTGTCTGTACAAAAATACCTTGAACCGCTATGTTTTTCAAGATCTTGCGTTTAATTACGTATACTAATAAATCAATCTCCCGTGATAAACAAGCAGTTGAAAATGTCTTTTTGTTACAAGGAAAGTTCAAACCCAATTTGTTTGAGTTCAGCATTTGTAAATGATGTAGAGTATGTCAAACAAGTCATGCGGCTGACATCGTGAACTTTGAGTGTGTCTGGGGAAGGGGAGAATTGGAAAAAAACAGCCCTCTCCTTTGCGCACAAAGTAAAATGTTGATCGTTGCTAAAGGAATACATGGAAAATTTTAAATATCTTGTCAAATAATTCCATTTTCGTGTATTCTAATCCTTTAAAATCACTGATACATTTTTAGCCAATGCACTTGTATTTCAAATAAAATTACAAAGAAACGCTCCAAAACCAAGTTTTTGTTTAAAGAAGTAATATAAAACTGTGTGTACGTAGGCATCATATGAGCCCAACACATCCGTCAATATCGAACCTGACAACGTAAATAATATTGTCAAGCTATATATCAAATCGTATTCGCCTGTTTTAAACTTTAATTTTTCAAATATCGAACTTTTTCTAAGTTAGTGTGATAATTGTACAAAATTCCGGCAAATGCATAGTTATCACTATTAATAGCTATGAAGGGTGTGAAATGCTTTTTTTCTTACCATATCAAAATGTTTCCTTTTATCAATATAAGATAAAATTCCGTCTTGAATTCTTACACTCTACTTTGTGTTCACTAACGACAATAAACACAAAAAATTGTATTCTATGTGACAAATGCAGGTTATTCAAAGTTTAAACAAATGTTAAAGTAGTAGCAAACTAAGTAGCGTTTTTAAAGGGGGGAGATATTGTCATGTAGTTTAACAAATTATATTGCATTTTATGTCATAAATGCAAAGTAAAATTGCTTGCATTAAAATCATGATTAAATAGTTAAACTTGGTTTAGATGCATCACCAGACGATGCAAGCAGTCCTTTTCATAGAAGGTCGTCACTGTTTTTACGAGTTCTATAAGCCCCATGAAACGACTGCAATTGTACAAAAATTTATTCAAACACACTATTAAGTTCAAGCGCCAAATCAACAACAAAAAAGATGTTAAATAGAAATGGCAAAAATAGCATTTTTTTTAGGTGCTATATTTAACACTTTTATACAAGTACTACATTAACAGTATTGGCCGGTGTTTGGCGATTACTGTTTCTGGTGTTATATCAACGCTTTTGGAGGTTATTTGAGTCTTGTATTTGTGTAGCAAGAAAAGCTTCTGTGCTTTTTTTTCACGAAATATAAGGAAAACTTATAATAGTGATACAGATATTCATTAGTTAATAAACAATAAATAAATACATACGTATGAATTCATGAGAAAAACAGGCATACAGTTTGATATAAAATAGATTATTCAATGAAAATGTGAGTTTATTCAGACAATTCTAAGTAAAAAACATGTTCTGTTAAGTATTAACTCTTAGACACTCTTAGCTGCAGGTGTGTGTTCACTTAGGGCTCAGAAGTTGTGGCAATACAGAAAGCTGTTATTCTTTCGAGACCCTTACAGGGTCTAGCTTGTTATTCATTTTGAGAGCATAACGCAGGGAAATTCCTGGTCAAAAATAATGTTTTACAATAAATAATAAAATTATCTACTAAGGAACCAAAATATTTAAACTATAGATATTTGTTCAGGAAAACAGGTAACAAACACATTGTTTAGGACAAATGAATAACAACCAGCGCGTCATTATTATAACTTGTTAAACGTAAGCAAAGCAATAGTTTGTAATGGAAGAGTCTTTCTGAAATCATATTGTTTTTATTATTCATCGGCGCCATAGCATAGCGGATTCTTGCCATCTGCGCTCCTTTTATGCCACACGATAAGAGGATTCATTTATAGC